GAGCTTAATGCTGTTATTTCTGCTAAAAGAAAACAGTGTTGGGGGTTCCTCGTCCGTAGTGCAGCTCTGCCAGCTCCCGCGGAGGGAGAGAGAGCAGGGTCAACCCTACGGATTTTTTAAAATTAGGCTTAGTTTCTCCTGGAGTTTATACACAAGACCGAGGGGGAAAGTGCTGTAGTTAAGTCGACATTTCCCCTTCTGATGTAATTGATGTTTTCATTCCTTCAAGCCCAGGAACATTTAAAATTGAGTAGCACTGAAGGGGATTAATACAGCCGAGAAATATTATAACACCCTCCCCCCCAGTATTGGAGTTAACATGTTTGATAGAGATCCAGCCAGTGACTTTTCATTATAGACTTCGGGGGAAATAAATTAATTTTATTGTGTCTCGACAACCTCATAAACACATATTTGGTGGTGGGTGTAATTACTGTAATGGATTATTATGTACACTGACTTATCTTCCTTAAACTAGATTTAGTTTCGATTAAATAAACTCGTTTCCACTTTGTCTGATGTCGGCTTAGTTTAAAGTCTGTTTACTTGTTCCACAGAAAGGTGAATTCATCTCTTTATTAAGCACTAGAGACCGAGCAAACACAGCTCAAACTGTATTTACATATCAATCAGAAGAAATGCAAACAAACTGCTCTTTAACAATTTTATAGCTTTTTTTATGACATTGTGATATTGTATTTTATAGTTTTATTTTTTTATAAAGCTGCTATGTCTTGATTAGGATGAAGATTTTTTCTTTTTTGAGGGGGGGAGTAGTGTAAATACATTTTAGTCTCCAGTCTCCCTTGAGAACACTCATGATAACTTAATCACTGTATAGCATTTTAAAATTAAATATATGCCTCCGTCTAAACTCCTGCTTCTTCCAATACGCTGATTTTCAGTCTCCGGTAATCAATGCAGAACTTGGATAATGGGGGGGAGGGGCAGTGTGATTCAAACCTGAAATGATGGAAGAGATGCACGTTTCCAATATAACTGCTTTATCGATGCTAGACCGTGGGCACCCCGTATTTTGAGAGATAAAAGAATCTACTGAAGAATGGCTATTCCCTCCCACTCCCCCACTGCCTGGCACTGCCTGTAAGTGCAGGAGAATCGCTAAGGGCATTTTTTCCTGCTGTAAATAGGAGTTCATGCTTAAGTGCCATGAAGTGTGCATGTAGTGGCACAGCAGGCCGTGGAAAAAGAAAAAAAAAAAAAAAAACGTTGGAAAAAAAAAAAAAAAAAAGAAAAAAGAAAAGAATTAAACCCAAAACCAAACCCAAAACAAAACAAAAATAAAAATCCTAAAACCTAACAAAACCCCATCGCTACTACGACCACAACAACAGCAACAATAGCAAAAGACTTCTTCATATTTGTTGCTTCATATCAAAACGGGCTGTGGGTTGTTGGCTTTTTTGTTTGTTTCACAGCAGCCTGTTAGTAAGAAGGATGCTCGGGTTAAACCCAAAACCAAACCCAAAACAAAACAAAAATAAAAATCCTAAAACCTAACAAAACCCCATCGCTACTACGACCACAACAACAGCAACAATAGCAAAAGACTTCTTCATATTTGTTGCTTCATATCAAAACGGGCTGTGGGTTGTTGGCTTTTTTGTTTGTTTCACAGCAGCCTGTTAGTAAGAAGGATGCTCGGGAGGAAGGGCTCGGGGGAGCCGGCGGCGGGGCCTGCCTCGGGCGCTGCTGCGGCCCCAGCAGCAATGCACGAGCGCGGCGGTGTCACTGTACTACGGGATGGGAAAGCAATGAGGAGCTGATCTAAAAGTATATTGCCTGCATATCTGTTCAAAAAGCAGTGCAGGGCCTTAAGACAGTGTTAAAAGTGCAGATCCCAAACAATGTAATCTGAGACAGCTCTGAGATGACACCAAGAGAAGTTGCCTCGGTGGGGAGGGGAGAGCAAAAAAAGTATTTTAGGAGTTTTGTGGCGCAGCGCAGGTAGAGGGGCCTCGCCGGGAAGGCAGCCCCGGTCCAACTTGTCGCGACGGCTGCCTTTAGCCTTTACAAAGCTGGTCTAGAGGTAAAGACTGAGTGAATTCTGAAGAATTTCAGTCCTTTCATGGCCGTGTCTGGAGCAAAGCTGAGAAATATTTTTTTTTTCTGTCTGACCTGCTGTTCCTCTCATGATCCCCTTCAGGGGGAAAAAAACCCTCCAAACTCTAAGTTAATGGCAATACTGTTATATGTATCAAATGTGTACAGAGATCTGACCCAGTGCGGCTGTTCCTCTAAGGTAGAGAGATGACCGTCCCTGGCAAAGTGGCGAATAACATGAAATTACTTTTTTTTCCTCCTCTCTTTTCTGGCTGCAAGCACATTAGGGAGCAGGTAAGGTCAAAGTTTTCTATATCCTATGTCTTTCTCTCGAAGGCTTCTGGTCAGCTTTACAAATAAGATTGTGAATAAGATGTATTGATATTAAAAGAAACTGAAATTCGTTTTGATGCTTAAAACAACTTACTATGCAAAAAATTGTCTTGGGAAACCTATAGATGAAAACATTAAATA